GGTGTGACAAGGGCTACAGCCAGTCTAGATCTCTGAGCATCTTAGAGATATGAGCACCCTTATAAGGAGGTTGCATGTAATCTGTTTCATCTCTCTTGGTCACAAATGCCTTATATATAAAATATGTTTGGCCAAATCTCTAAGATTGCCTTTTGAACCTTTGTTTCTCATTTGATGTGACACAGAGAAGATAATTGTTTTTTTCTTTTTTAACCTTCCAAGAAGATCCCTGATAACCACTATGTTTTTTTAATAGCAAGAGTTAGGGTTTTGTTCCTAAATTTTGAAATGTGACATTCTGTGTAGCACTTTGGAAAAGCAAAACCTCTAAATCTTGATGTTGTTTAATATTTCTTAGCTGCTTTTTGTTTAGATGATAAATCTGTATCTATGCAAAGAAAAGAATAAAACACAGCAAACATGCTGCTTCTCTGTGAACTGTAGCTGACCAGTAAAATTATGTAGGATCACCATAGTTAAAGTATGTACTTGTTTTTATTATCTATTTAAAAGCATAGTGTATTAGTGAATAAACTCTAATGAGTCAGCCTGCCTCTTTTGCATTCTACCTTCCTCTCTGGACATGGACTGTGTTCTTTCAACACAGCCAGTATTTTGAATGAAATGTATTCTTCTTGTTAAGTAAAACAAGCCTGAGTGTTTTCCAATGGGATTATTCAGAGATGAGGGCGTTTGCCCATAGTTCTCTTGAAGTCAAAGAAAGGTGCTTCATTTTTAAATTATATTTATCTTTTCATAGTAAAGTTGTTTTACTCAGTTTCTGGTAATTTTTATTTTTAGGTGCTACTACTAGCTTTTTCTTAAAAAAAAGTAAAATTGCTGCTTTCTAAAAAAATAATTATATTTGAAAGTATAATTGCAGTCTTAGACGTATATATTATTTCTTATAATAATGTTTGACATTTTATGTATGAAATCAGACAAATAGTACTGAGAAAGTTTATCTCTATAAACCTTCTTTTTACTTGCCCATATTCCTACATCCCAAGACCTGCTGCATAATACTAAAAAAAAAAAAAATTATTTTTAATGTATTACATTTTAAATTTCTGCTTAAAGTTTTTGTGGTATTAAGTTGTCTCTTACAGTTATAATTCCACTTTCTTTAAAAGTAGTATTATGTATCTTGGGGTGCCCGGGTGGCTTAGCTGGTTAAGCATCTGCTTTTGGCTCGGGTCATGATTCTGAGGGTCCTAGGATCGAGCCCTGCATGGGGCTCCCTACTCACCAGGGAGCCTACTTCCCCCTTTCCCTCTGCTGCTCCCCCTGCTTGTGGTCATTCACTCTCCCAAATAGATCGATAAAATCTTTTTTTAAAAAAAAGGTAATACAATGTGTCTTATATTTTTATACTATGGGTTCTATGTATGTCTTAATGGTATTTCATTGTGTAAAATTGATCAGATTGACTAAAAACAAAAACTTCTCTGAAATTTGTGTGTTTTCATGCTTCATATTGTTTTTGGCTTTTAAATAAATATAATCTGGTTTATAGTAAAATACTGTTCTATTTTTTGACTTGGGATTGAGTCTTTGTTGTAGACAGAATGCTTGTATCCCTCCCCACACCCCAAACTTAAGAATTTACCCCAGTGTATGATGTTGGGGCAGTGTTGGGTCATGCAGGAGGAAGAGTGTCCTTATAACCTGCCAGCACCTTGATCTTAGATTTCCCAGCTTCCAGAACAGTCAGAGAGAAATACTTGTTGTTTAAGCCACCCAGTCCACAGTATTTCCGTACAGTTACCAAATGTATTCAGTCAGAAATTGGAGGTGCTGCTGTCACAAATACCTAAAAATGTGGAAGCAGCACTGAACTGGGTCATGGGGAGAAGCTGGAAGCATTTTGAGTTGCATTCTAAAAAAAAAAAGCCTAGATATCTTAACAGAACTTTAAAGGTGATTCTGGTGAGAGCTCCGATAGAAAAGAGAGCTGTAGAGGAAGCCTCAGTGTTCTTATAGCTAAGTAATCCTGAACAGGATGTTGGTAGAAATGTGAGCGGTTAAGGCCATTCTGATGAGGCCTCAGGTGGAAATGAGGAACTTGTTCCTGAGGAGAGGCCCTCTTTACTATAAAGTGGCAAAGAGCTTGGCTGAATTATGTTCATGTTCTCACGTTTTGTGGAACACAGAACTGGCAAGTGATGAAACTGGATGTTTAGCTGAAGCGAGTTCTAAGCAGCGTGTTGAAGGTGCAGTTAGTTCCTCTGACTTACAGCAAAATACAAGCAGTGAGAAATGACTTACAGGCAGAATTGTCAAGCAAAAGGAAGCAGAATGTAAAGACTTGGAAATTTTTCAGCCTATCCATATAGCAAAAAATGAGAACACTGAGGGTATGGCCAAAGTACTGATAAGAAGATCAGTGTGAGTGAGCCTTCTGAACAGAAGCCAGGGAACTCTTCTCCAGGACAGTGGAAGAATGACCCTGATGGCATGCACATCAGTGGTCAACAGAGCCACCTCTCCCATGACAGGCCTGTAATGCAAGCTGCTTAGGGGGCTGAGTGGTTCAAAGGAAGGGCCTTCAGTACCAATGGGAACTTTCTGCACTATACCTGGCACTACTTCACATGGGGGGCCCTTGCTGTCTGCACTCTCTTGCCATGCGCTTCTGCCACCCCAGCTGTGGCTCTTGTGTGCCCTGGTATGGCATGGACTTCATTGGTCACCTGTCCAGAGAGTACAGGTCCATGTGGCCTTATCTCACGGTGCATAGGTCAAGGGGGTATGGCTGCCTTCACCTTGGTTTCAAAAGGGGCCATTTGGGCAAAACTCGGGCTTTGAACCCCAGTCCTGGAGATCCACAGGGCCCAGGGAGAGAGTCTCTGCAGGGAAGGCCATTCTGCTGAGCCCTGTGGGTGCAAGGCCATCCCAATGGGCCCAAAAGACAGAGCTTTAAGTCAAAGATTATTCTTAAGCCCTAAGATTTCATGTTGTTTGTGCTGTGTGGTCTCGGACTTACCTGGGACCTGTCACTCCTTTCTTCTTTCCTATTTCTCCTTTTAGGAATGGGAATGTCTGTCCTGTGCCTGTGCCACCATTTTATCTTGGAAACACATAATTTGTTTGGTTTTGCAGGTTCCTAGATGGAGAGGACTTTGCCTCAGGATGACTCATACCTTGATTCTTACCCCTATCTGATTTAGATGCAACTTTGGACTTTCAGACTTTTGAGTTTGGAACAAGTTAAGACTTTTTGGCTGTTAGGATGAAATGAATGAATTTTGTCCTGACCAGGGGTGGAATGCCATCGACTGAATGTCTGTGTCCCCTAAAATTAGTATGTTGGAATCTAATCCCCTAATGTGATGTATTTAGAGGTGAGACTTGGGGGATGATCAGAATGTGAGGGTGGAGCCCTTACTGTCAGTAAAGGATGCATTTTAAAACAATTTTAATGACAAGATTTCCCAAAAAGTATACAATAAGCTGGTTACCAGTCTAATTTTTCAACCAGCTGGATGTTAAGTTCAAGTATAGAATGAGCAGTGATTCCCGGGATAGAAGCCTGCTCTGCTGGGACAGCTGGCTGCCCCCTGCCCCAGTGTTTAAGGTTTAATTTAACTTATATTGGAAGATGCAAACTTGGAAAATCCAAGGTATGGATTTAATAAACTAAACCAAATACAACTTTTTGGCTGGTGATAACGAACACTGAAAGTGAATCTTTCCCATAATTTGGTTGACCTTCATGGAACCTGTTTCCCATTCATTTGCCTCTAGAAACCCCAGAAAAGAGAAAAACAGAATAATACATTCCAATGTAGTATGTATCAGTGAGATAGCACAGTATTATCCATGATAACACTTAGCATAGTTAAGAATAGTACCTCTTAGGCATTCATTCAGTATCTGCGCAATGAATAACAAAGCAATCAGTGGCTATATTTTTGAAATATTTGTTATAGTAACCAGTACAAAGTTTTACTGTTTAAAAAAAGCACTCTCCACTATTTCATTCTATTTATAATTACTCTATTGAGCACCTCCTAAATTCAGGCATTGAACTATTTCTGAAGGCAGAGGGTAATGCAAAGGTAAAAAATACACAAATATTACCCTTAGAGGTTCACACACTAATGGATGAGACAGACTTTTAAAGAAAATACCCATCTTTGAGCACCACATGGACATGTGTTCAATGGTATGTTGGCACATTCAGTAGAGACCATGTCCCTCGCACCATCTCAGGTGCCATCTAATGTATCTCTGTCCCCATTCAATCAGAAGGTTTAGGCTGGTTGTGTCGTTTGCCCAGGTACACTTCCTGGCACTGCTGGAGGTGAATAAGATTCATTTTACAGTCTTGTCTATAAGTTGAATACATGGTCAGTACAACTGAAAAGGTCAATTTAGCAAATTTTCATCAAGCAAAGCAGGAGTTGATTGTTTATTACAGTTAAACACAGAACCCAAGAGAGTGGTGCATCTGAGATCCTCAGCAAATATTTGTCGAATGAGTGAAAATAGTTCTAATGCATGCATGACACTATGCCAGGTGTTAAAGGAGACAGAAATGAAGGGTAGTCCTCTATCCCTCAGCAAGGATAAAGCCAGTAAGTATGCAATTACAGCACAAATTTAAAGAATTATTACATAAGATAAAAATTATTCTGTTTGAAAATATATTTTACTTGATTCTCACATCTGCATCATGAGATAAACATCAATACCATTTTTTCAGAGGAAGAAACTTCATCAAGAGGTAATGGCAAAAGATGGGATGCTAAGGAATTTCCCCCTCCCTGTTGTAATTGCAATGAAGGAAAATTGAAATGTTGGATAAAAGGTTTCTCGCATGACAGCTCCTGGAAGACAGCACAGCTCATGGAAGAGCGTGGAGAGGTGCCCAGTCTCAAAGTCCCACTAGAAATCTAATCTAATCAGTCTAATCTCCTCACTCCATTTTCCAATGGTCCAGAATGGCGTGGTGGTGCGTCTTCACTGGAGGGTGTGGCAGAGATGGGGTGGGTGCCAAGGTTGAGGTGGCGGTGGTGCCTCTTCACATACTATCTAAACAAAAAGCAGTGGATTCTAAAATATTCTGTAATTACCTTGCTTAGTGGTTGCCCATTAAACTTTCTTACAGTTCTTCATTCTGCTGCTTCTCCACAAGGGAGCCAGTCATATGAACTCATACAACTTTGAGATGTGTAGTTTCTGGGTTTACCTCAAGATTCAATTCCAGCATAGATGAATATGCATCCAGGCACCTGTGGAGGAAAAAGAGCCTAATCATGAGACAGGTGGTATAATGTGAGCAACTAACGAACTATGATGATGGTGGTGGTGGTGGTGGTGGTGGTAGCAGCCAGCTCTTTCTAGTGCTCCTATACTGCAAGTACCATTCTGATTGCATGGACTTCCTATGTACTGACTCATTCAATTCTCATGATCCTGTGAGATAAGATTACTATAAAAACCCCAATTTTACAGATGAAATTTTTAAAAAGGGGAGGTTTAAGTATCTTACACCAAGGAAGCCAACTAGCTTATGTCCACAAAACCATTATTTGACGTGGCTCCAGAGGCTACATTCTAAACCACTATGCCTTGTGCTTCTATCATCTCTGTGCGATACGTGGTTTGTCATTGTGTGTTAACTCAGAAATATAGGAAACAGAGATAAAGAAAGATGGTGGTATGTTACCTCATGTGTTCTCTCAAGTTGAGGTTTATGATGGGACGCCCACACGGCTTCGAGGGGTTTTGTCTAAGGGTATGCTCTCTCCTAGAGATGTGCTTTTGCTTCTACAAGTATCCCGGTGGTGTTTCTGACCGAAGACCACTTTTATGCTGTTCTGTCAGTTTGCTGCTTCCCAATGGATGTATGCATTTTAAATAGGAAAACCAAAACAATGAGGATAAGTCTTAGTTACAAATTCTCAGTGAGCAATTTTTTTTTCTTTACCTGTAGCACAAGCCTGAACAGTCAAACTTTCTCTTGAGCTCTATTTGCCAGTGGAATTTTTTTTTTTCTAGCTCACACTTTACACTGAAGTGTATCTCTTTGAAAGTTGCCATTTTATTGTTAGTCTCTGTTCCAGTACTACATCTTTGCTTCAGCCCATGGCTCATCTCCTGTCTCATCTTAGCAGCTGAAATCTAAGCCACGGCCAATAAAGATTGGTAACTCTTCTCTGGGATGCCAGAGCAAGTGTCAGCCTGTGTTTAATAGTCAGAAATTTCAGATTGTGCCTGATTTTGACCTCTACTAAATTTTCTTACTCTCTTAGGAGCTTCACTTTCCATTTCCATAGCTTTTGGTTATACTTTAGCTAGACTTTGTATGTATGCGAGGTTTTAAGATGATCTTGAAATATTGCCAGCAATGGAACTGATCTATTTTTTAACAGCACATAATTTTATTATAAAATAAAATATTCAGGGGATAATGCTTTAATGTAAACACAAAATTTTAAACAATTTGAACTTTCATATTATTAGTATTTGTGTAGACCTAATCTACAACTAAATGTTTGTTTTCTATTTGAAATTATGTATATTAATTATTTTTCTATCATATTATCGAATTCCAGATTCTCTTAAAATATGTTTAATGTTTCTAATACTGTTGTTAGATAAAAAGAGATTCATCTAAAATGGTGCCATCTCTCCTGCAATCCAGGCTCAGATAAATTTATTTTGGAAAATTATGGAAATAATCCTCGCCTTGAGTAGTTTAAACATGTTTGCTCAAATTGTCTTAGCTAATAGTTATTCCACATAATTTATTTGAGTTTTAATTCTTTTCATTATAACTGTTAGAAACAAACAGAAATTGTTTTTTTGGGTTTTTTTTTTGTTTTGTTTTGTTTTGTTTTAGAATTCTTGACTATGAAGGAATAGGCCCATAGAGAGAGACTGAGAGAAGCAATTTGAATGACAAAATATTTCTCTGATTTCGCCCCCCAACCCTTGTCAGTCTACTATAGGGGGCAGCACCAGCTCATGGGCTCTTCGGTAAACTCTGCTCATTGTTTTTTCTTCAGCCAAGAATATATTGGTACTAATCTAGAACTTTTAATGAATAGAATCAAGGGATTTTGGAGTTAAAGGGGCACTAAGGACTGTCTACTCTACACTCTATGGTATAAATGAAGAAACTGAGAGAGGCCCAGATAGTGCCCAAAGTTACACCATGAATTCGTACTTAGAACCAAAAGTAAAAGTACAGATCTCCACTTATATTCCAGTTTCCTTCTACTGCACCAAAAATTTAACAGTGATTTTAAAACATTGTGATGCAACATCTTTCATAACATTGGAATCTTAGCAATAAAAAAAACTGTTTCAAATTGTTCTAATGTTCTAAGTCGTTTTTTAAAGTTGAAATTGATTTTATTAATATGTTCTCACTCCCCTCCAAACTTTCTCCCCCAAATAAATATCCCCTCATTTGAAGGGGGGGGCGTCTTAGGGCCAGTCCCCTAGCGTTAGGAACCGGTGCCTAATCCCTCAGGCTGAGGGGCTGGGGTGGAATTTCGGTACATCTGAGAGGGTGGGGCCTGGCGGTGAGCCTGTCCCTTGTGTCAACCAGGCCCTCAAGCCTTGGGCGTGGTGTTGAAGGCTGAGGCCTTGTGCGAATGCTGAGGTTCCTTAGTGTCAACTGTCTGGTGTGAGCCAGCGCAGGTCTCCTTTTCTATGCTGGAACCAGAGACAGGGTAGTCGCAGACCCTCTAAGGCTCCTCTGAGCAGAGACCCAGGCCTCACAAAGGTCATACCCCCCACCCCCATCCTTCCGCACCGCTGTTTGGTAGAGTCTGGCTTTGGCTGTCTGGAGGGCAGACTGAGGGGCAGGGGCTGGCTCCTGATTAAAGAATGAACGGATGGATGATGAAATGGGTGGGGCCTCCTGCTGGCCTGCGCGCGGGACAGTCCCTGTCCTTTCTGGAAGGGACTCCCGCCGGCCTCCTGGATGGGAGTAGTAAACTTCACTTTCCTGCAGCACCAGCTCCAGACCAAGAAGCCAGAAAGCAGTCCCACCCAGCGGGAGGCCTAGGCTACTTCCCCACCCCACCCTCTCCCGCCACAAGATGGGCCACAGCAGCGGGATGGAAGTGTAGTCGCGCACTGAAAGTTCTCCTACACCAATCCGAGCGGCCGGGCAACGCTGCTTCTGCGATCGAGAGCAGCAGCAGCTGAATCCTGCACATAGCTGCGTGTGTGTGTGTGTGTGTGTGTGTGTGTGTGTGTGTGTGTGTGTGAAAAGCAAGGAGAGATGGCTCAAAGCGTGGCAAAGGAGTACACAGGACGGCAAATATCTTAAAGCAGGTTTGCATTCTCCCCTACGCGCAGGAACGCAGGGAGTTAGTCTTGGGATAAGGGAGGAGCAGGATGTTTGGGCTAGCAGTCTCCAGGTGCAGAAAGGAGGGACTGAGGGTCACATCCTTTCATAGCTCCTAGCTTATGCCCCGTCCCTGGGCATCGTGTGCCATGGAGATGGTGGGATCCTGCCCCAACCCGGCCATTGCGTTCAATAGACCGAGAACAGGAATGCGGCTTACGTTTCAGCTGCTTGCACGGTTACTCCTTAGGGCTTGCAATGTATTTTCTTAAGAATAACTCCACAGGAAGCTGGAGGGGCTGCGGAGAAGCCCAGGCAGAAGGCACTGTGAAGTCGCCGGCGGGGCATGACTTGCAGTCCGTGAACTTGCGTAGGTCTGCCCTCCAGGAGCTGTCCGGAGGGCTGGGCTGGAGCTTGGCACCTGCTCCGGGCGGAGGCGCTCAGGAGCGCCCGCTCCAGTCCCAGCACCAGGAGCTGCAGGAGCAGCGCGAGCCTCGGGCTTGGAACCATGGTGCGGATCTGGCGGCAGCTGCCCTCTGTGTTCTAATGTTTCAACGCAGTTTTAAGCACATACTTATAGTCTACCTCAATAAACCAGAGTAATTTCACAGTCTAACTATAAAGAGGAAACTAAATTACCGTCTTACAACAACAGAAATACTTAAATTGTTTACGTCATGGGGAACATAGACATTTATGTATTCATCCATTGATACAACGATGGACATGTGTATATGCATATTTATTTGTGTATATATGTACTTGCAAAAGACTATTATTTGTTTGCTAGATTTTCCTGCTTTGAAGAACTGTTATTGTCAGTTCAAAAGGAGTGTCAGTCCAGCAAAGACAATGAGGCCATTACCCTAAGTAGGGAAGCCTAACACAGCTAATGGGAAATTGAGCACACGCTTGCCTAGATGGGACCTAATGTAGCTTCATGTTGGCCTGACAGGTGGCATACAGATGACATGGTTTGATGGGGAATATTTTATTCAGGAATCAGGCATACAAGTTGACAGTCAGCTTTATTCCTGTCAGATTTCAGTGTCTATTTTATTCCCTTCGATTGCTTTGCTATTATTTTCTCTACTAGTAAAAATTTTCTGTTTTTCTCTGCATTTCATATGTTTGCATATCTCTCCCCATTCTGTTTGGTTTTGTGATTTTCTGTTTATGACATGTTCGCGCCACTGGTTTGAGATGTGGTCATGAGACCTGCCTGACATGAAAATCAGGGAGAACTTACACTGTTTTCTTTACTGATAGCTCTGTAACTTTCAAAGGGAAACTATATATTGCTGGTGTTTTGAGAGATTACTTTGTGAATGAAACCACTTGTGCGATAGACACAGAAAGGAAATACAAAGTATTTTTATTCTGATAAGGCTATTTTAAGGGCATGTGGTGTTCTCTGCAGCAAAGGTTTACAGAATGGTGTAGAATCAGAATTACCCTCTCTGTCTCAGGCAGAGCTAGAAAACCAGAGTGATCCCTGGTAGAAGCTTGTCCCTGTAAAACATACCCCAAAGAGGAGCTAGGAATGTGTGCCTTCTGCAAGATTAGCTGCCTTCCCAAAGAGACCCCAAAAGAGTAGACTGAGACACTTTGGCCCAGTTCCTTTTTCCAACTCAGTGGCTGGGTTAGTTATTCCTACTCTCTGAGGCCAGTGCATGAGAGGATGGAACAGCCAAGAGTGCTAAGTGCTAAGGCCACTGCCATTACATGGGGGATGTCCAGACGGGAATATAATTGTGGTAGAGGTTGTCTGGTCCTCTCCTATCTCTCTTCCCCTTCTCCCCTTATATTATATAGCTTCCAATTTCAGTGATTCACAGTGAAGCCTGGAAGAAACACAGCATTTCCCTGAAGTGGTGACATGACAAAGTTCTAGTCCATTAAAAGTGAAATAATTGACACATATCATTTGTTTCTCATTGATCCTCTCCTCCTCCCTTTATGCTTGGCCTAAGAAAACCAGATCAAGGCTTTGACAGTGGATACCTCTGGAAAGTAGAATTGGGTGAGTCATCTTTATTTTACATGCTTCTTTATTGCTTGAATTTATTAAAATAAATATTAATTTCATAATGTAAAATATTAAACATAAACTTTTAACTGTTTCCTGTAGTTTCACTCTCTCGCATGCCATATTTTAGTCTCTAATTTAGGACTTTCTGACTTTTGAAGGAACAGCATTCAATGGGAGCTTTTCCTAAATCTCATCGTAGGGAACCCATCCCTCTTCCCTGCCCACCCCCCCCCCCCCCCCTGATTTATTTGCTCTGGGGTCGGATCTGGGTATGGGTACTTTCCAAAAGTCTCTTAGGTCTTTGTTGTGTGTAGTGCAGGATGAGAATCATTGGACATCAGTCACCAACTCCTCACCGGGGCACATTAGAGTCACCTGGAATGCTTTGAAAAATCTTACGCCCTGATTACATTTCCGAGGAAAATCACCAGAATCTGGAGTTCCTCAGATGGTTGCAAGGTGCAGCTAAGTTTGGAAACAGCTGTTACTGCCCAAAAACTTCTTGGAAACTTCTTTACAATTTGTAAGCAAGCTGATAAAATAAGTTTTGTTGTTTTTTCTATGTCTTAGCCAAATGAATTGGGTTTTTAGGTGAAATACAGGATGCCTGGTTAAATTCAAATTGCAAATATTAATTTTTAGTAGAAGATTATCCCATGCAATGTTTGACTTGCACCCATAAAAAAATACTCATTGCTTATAAGAAAATCACATTTAATTGGGCTACCTGTGTTTTTACTTATGAAATCTGGCAACCTTACAAGCAAAGTAAAAACAGTACTCCAAAAATCACTGAAGGATACTATAGACTTCTCTTTATGTAAAGAAGCTTTAAGAAGATTGAATACTTGGGGTCCCTGGGTGGCTCTGTCGGTTAAGCGGCTGCCTTGGGCCTGGGTCATGATTCCAGGGTCCCGGGATTCAGAGTCCTCACTGGGCTCCTTGCTTAGCAGGGAGTCTGCTTCTCCCTCTGTCCCTCCCCCTGCTCATGCTCTCTCTCTCTCTCTGTCTCTCTCTCAAATAAAAAATTAAATTCTTAAAAAAAAAAAAAGAAGGAGAAGAAGAAGAAGAAGACTGAATACGTAAGGAAGATGCGAAGAGAGATCCCCTTGCAAATGCCCAGTAAAACAATCTACAAATTGTCATTCCTTCTCTCTTTTCCTCAGTATTCCTAGATTTTATAACTGGCTCAATTCCTTTGCCAATTTCCCCTGCCCAGCTCAATGAATAAGCAAGTAACTCCCCAACCCCACTCTTACCTCTCCCATTCCACCCTTAATCTTTCCTTCTAGCCAACTAAAGCAACCTACTTTAAGATTTTGATCATCTTTTTTTCTGAACCAGACAGAGAAGATTCTAAACCAAGGAAATGTAAGTTGGATTGCCTTGTGTGTGGGTGAGTGTGTGTGTGTGTGTGTGTGTGTTTGTGTGTGCTCTTAAGACCTTCTTTTTTCTTAAAGGTATCATCCTGCTTTTATTCATGTGGGAATGTAACCTTCGGGGTATATCCTGTCAGTGTTAAACTAGGAATTTAGGTAAATGTATCTTCTAACTGCTGCTTTCAGTGTCAGTTTCAAACATAAACCACAGACTTTCCTTCAGTAAATGGTCTATTGAAAAAGATCAAGAAGTACTCTTTTCTGTACCAACTTGAGAACTCTAATGCCTAGAATTGGTTATTAACCACACAAATAACCACTATAGATAACAAGTATACAGGAACAATGAAGGCTTACACTGTATCCGTGTCCAGTATTCAGTTGGGGGTGGGGAAGCAAGTCTCCAGCAAGTATTAGATGTTTTCTGGAGAGATGTGTTTCAGAAAGAGTGTACAAGACGTTCTGGGGCCCAGACTTTGCTTTGAGCTTAGCAGCTGCCCTTGATAATTAAGTGACCTGAGGCTTGAAATGAAGTTTTTGTGCGTCTCCACTTTTCCATCTGTAAAATTGAAACCACAGTGCCTGACTTGTATTGATAAGTGTTTTATTTTTTCTTTTTTGATAAGTGTTTTTGTGAAAATTCCAGTGAGATAATTATGTGGCTACGACTGGACTACTCCAAACATTAGCAATTTTACTAGGGAAAAGAAAAGAAAGATGAGGAGGAACAGGGTTTGTTTTGCTCTGCACAAAGAAATCTAGCTGGGCTCTTCTATAGTCTTTTATACACTATCAAAGCATACTGACCCAGAAATACCCTCAAGGGATAAAAGAAATGCCAGTTAGCAGGCCAACTGTAAGCACTGATTTTCTAAGGAAAAAGAAAAGATGAAAAGGGCCAAGCCACAAGATTAGCCCCCATAGAGGCTCCTGGCATCCTGAGTGGGGATGGTGGATTTCTTAAATAATCATGTTCCCTTCTCTTAGTCAGATGGAAGCATTAAGTCATCTGACACAAGGATGAGTCATAGACAACTTACGGGAAGATTCCCAAAGTCTGAGTGGTAAAGTAAGTGAAATGGAAAAAAAAAAATGTGTATGGATGTCATATTTCCATATGTCTAGAGAGATTAGCTATTTAATATAAGTTCCCCTTATGAACCAGACCAAATTCTGTTTTTAGGGTTCAAGGAGACTGCATTATGTTAGGCTCTTCTAATCTTGAGTATGTGTTTATTTAGACAAGCTCTAGATTCAAGTGTACTATTACAGTTTTCATGAAAATTTTTTAAAAAATGAAACAGCATAAGGGGGCCTTGGTAGTTCAGTTGGTTGAGCATCTGACTCTTGGTTTCAGCTTAGGTCATGATCTCACTGTTGTGAGATCAAGCCCCTAGTAGCGCTCTATGCTCAACGGGGAGCCAGCTTGAGCTTCTCTCCCTCTGCCCCCCCTCTGCTCACACGTGTGCTCTCTTGAAATAAATGACTCTTTAAAGAAATAAAATCAAACAGCACATTTAACCCTCCTAAAAAACAAACAAACAAAAAAAAAACCTTAAGTAGCTCTATTATCTATTTTTATATAATTCATATGTTCAATTCTTAGACACATTCTTTACAAACTTAACTGCCCTTATATACATATTCATTGTTAACAAGATATTTATTCTTCATAAGGACTTAGGGTGGGGTTAGTGTGGAGAATCTTCTAAGGTCTTCCTCTCTTGCTAACAACAGTTTTGGAAATCATATTTTAAAAACTACTCCCCAGCTACAAAATTCAGTCTGTACCATAAATTCTATGACTCAGTTGAATGGCTCACCACACTCACCCACTTATCTCAAATCCATTTTCAAAGATTAACCAAATTAAGTTACGCCCTTCTGAAAATCCTCCAGTAGCTTTCCATTTATCCATATGTTATGAAGCAATCTCAGTTTTCTCT